GACCAACCATCCTTCCAGAAAAGTTGAAGCAAGTTTCATTACTACTAACAGTGTATGGATATGTCTATTTCCCTACCCTCTTTAATACCAGGTTTAAAAAAATTAGAAAATTTGTTAATATGCTAGATCAAAAACATGTTGTTTTCGTTCATATTACTTAAGTAAAGAGGAACATCTTTTCCTATTAGGCATTTGTGTATATTTTATCTTTTTTGGTTTGCCTTTTTGTCTGGTTTTCTATTAGATAATTTCTTTTTGGAAAGAGTTCACCTACCCCTCTTTTACTCTCATAAAAGAGTTCACCATTTTATGAGTTCTCTGTGTAAGAATATGAACCTTTATATGGCATATGAATTGTAAATATTTTCCATAGTTTGTTTTGTATGTTTAAATACTCTTTATAATATTTTAAGTTTTTTACATCAGTGTTTTTACACTGTGTTTTACAAGTTTTTACATCAGTGATGAGTATTTTATTTTTCATAACAAGAGTTGTGTTTTTTTTTACAATGTAAGAAAGCTTTTATTTTTTTAAAACTTGAGATTATGTTTTTCTTATGTGGAATATAAGATATAAAATTCAAACATTCTTGTGATAAGCAAACATTTTGCATTTACTTTGGTTCTGTTATCCTATTACTTGAATTTGGATTATACCTTTGAGACTAGGAGCATAAAAGATACAATTGATGAATTTGCTATTTCTTCTTTACAGATAAATTTTTCTCTGTGTCTAGGTCACCACTAAAGACTTAAAATTGGCTAATTTGACATAAAAAAGAATGAAATTATGTTCTTTGCAGCAACATTGGTGCAGCTGGAGGGCATTATCCTAAGTGAAATAACACAGAAACAGAAAATCAAATTCTGCATATTTTCACTTGGGAGCTAAATGATGAGTACACATGGACATAAAGATGGAAACAGCAGGCACTGGGGACTCCATAAGTGGGGAAGTGGGGAAGAAGGGAGGGGGGCAAGTTGACAAACTGCCTATTGGGTCCTATGTTCATTAGAAGTCCAAACCCCAGTATCATGCCATATATATATATGTGTGTGTGTGTGTGTGTGTGTGTATATATATATATTTATATATAAAACAAACCTACACATGTACCCGCTGAACCTGTAATAAAATAAATAAGTGCAAGGTAGCAAAAAGTTGGCTAATTTGAGAGAATCTTACAATTTTCAAATTTAAAATCAGAAAAATTATTGATTTGATTTATCCATTTACTATGCAAATGTATACAGCATGTGATAATGTACAAAAAACATTCTCACATGTTTAATTATATGTGCTTCTCAGAATCACCCTGTGAGTTGAATACCATTATATCTATTTTATATATGTGAAAAACTGAGGCTTGGGGGAAACAAAATACAATATTTTTCTGACATAAGATCACTGAACTAATGGGTGTATGACATGATGAGGATTTGAATTCAGGTCTTTGAGTGCAAATTATGTATTTTTCTTATTTATTTCTGCCTTATCCTAATTTTACTTTTTCACTATAATAAAAATAAACAGCAGATGCTTAATGTCAAGTTTGTCCAATTATCTGTTAAGTGACTTCTTAAAATGAAAAATATGACATGAAGATATTTTCATTGCGCATACAGAAGGGATTCTGACGACCAGAGATTTTATGCATTTTGAGCACTTAGCTAGGAATAGAAGAATACATTAGTCAATCTGGCTTTAGAAATGTTAGCCAAATACGTAAAGGCAATTACCAAGTCACACTCCATAGCTGCTGAGAACCTGCAATGACATGTCCTTGATGAATTCCCCTATGGAGCTAATTACATGGAGGAGGGAAGGAGGCAAACATAGCATCCCCTGTGGAATTTGCTCTTGCACTGCATAGCTTCTCCTCAACCCACTACGGTACTATAAACTAATATTTTTCCAAAGAGACATGTCACCTCTGACATCGAGGGCCATCATATTAACAAAACAAGGATCAGATGGAAGAAACACTGTTAAGGAAGGCCAGAATCCACACAGACCTGCAGAGGTGGAATGAAATCCTTCACCCTGTCACCTGAAGATGTCTGTGCTCATCTAGGGTGTATATGCCTTGATGCTAACTTAATCTTTATCCGTCAAACAGCTCCTGGACATCTCTTTCCTCCCCACAAGTTTCTTCTCCCTGATGGTACCCCAGGCAGTGGGTGCCCATTTTCCAAAAGATTCCCAAATTCAATCTCCTTGGTCAGTCTCTTTAGGCTCCCTTTGGGAGTCTGCACAACAGGATTTCCACCTGATGCTGTCATGTCTTTCTCCTTTGTTTGTTCGTTTTTCCAGTGGGAATTTTCTTGGTTCTCTTTCCCAGTGACACTGAATGCAGTATAGTTTTTTTTTTTTTTTTAAACACTATCTGAGAGAAAAATTCGACATGACCATATCTATTTCTGCTCTGAAAAGCCAGAATTCATTTAGGGCAGAAAAGAAAATCAAGGGTGCTGTGGTTGGTGAATAAGATAAATTAAAATTTTGTTTTTTCCTTTTACAATGGTTTAATTTTGATAAACAGGTATCACTGTAGCTTTCAGTAAGAGGCATCTGCAGTTACATTTTCCGCCTTGCTGGTCCTATGCAAAGTCAATATGTCATTGACTTTTACTTCACGCAAGTTCCTTCCTCTGCCTATTTGTGAGTATATATTAATGTACCTTTAAAAAACTCATTATTTTGTTTTTAATACTCAAGAGGTTGTTTCTCTCCCGAAGCATCATGGTTCTTGAGATGAGGAGAAATCCTCCTGAGAAAAGGGTTGCTACATTTAGCAAATAAAAATATAGGATGCCCACTTAAATTTGACTTTTAGATAAACAACAAATAATCTTCTAGTATAAGTAGGTCCCAAATATTGCATGTGTATTTATGAAACAGACTTCTGCTATGTGCAATATTGTACTACAAATTATTTAAAACATCAAGGTGTATAGGCCTTGATGCTAACTTAATCTTTATCCGTTGTTTATCATTGTTTATCTGAATTATGTTATCATTGTTTATCTTAATTATTCATTGTTTATCTGAAATTCAAATTTAACTGGGTAGTTTATGTTTTGTCTGGCAACCCTACCTGAGACTAGTTTTTCGATTCTACGGAGACCAGAACTAGACTGTGTCAGAGGAAGCAGTATGTTTTTTAACTTTCACAATAAGTGAAGTAGAATGGCACTCTTTTCTCGTTAGAAGTAGCATAGGAATAGGTGTTAGTTCAAATACGTGTATCCTTTCCAGGGTTGACCCACACTAGCACTTCAGAATTAGGGTGGATGATGACATATATGCATTTAATAGTGTTTTATAAATAATTGCTTGAAGTTGCTCATGGCTTCTTTTGAAAGCATTCATTTTAATTAACTGGTATTCTTTTGTACTTCTTCTATATGGTAATTTTAACAAACCTTAACTCTATAAATCTAATCAGTAAATTCCTGAGTTTATTTAAATACTGTCATTTATAAATTTTTGAGGATTGCAGTAAGCTTTAATGAAATATAGGATAATGAAAGGTAAACAAAATATCATGGCCATTGAAGTCCCTAAAAATAAAAATAAAAAGTACTCCAAAGTGCTAAATGGAAACATAATTCCTTCAGGGCATGCTGTCTATAAATCATGACTGAAGGTCCAACCAAGGTTAAGTGTAACTAGTATTGTTAGACTTCAAATGAGTCATATTTCTTAAACATGCCAAATTCTGAATATCAAACTGAAATCTCACTAAAGTCTGAAAGAAACCTGATTATAAGACCAAAATATTAAGACCAACAATTTTCAGTTAGCTAAACTCATAGAGGAAGTCATGAAGCCATGCATCACAGCTACACTGCCACCTACTGGCCTTAAATTTTTAGAAATGAGAATCTAAGTCCCACCCTAATTCTCATTTTTAAAAACTGACATGTTTTGCATGTAGGGTAGGGAGAAACAGGATCTGTAATGGTTTTGTAGCCACTCCCCTCCAAATTCTATAACAGTGTGGTAGATTAAAGATGGTGGCAAATTCTTTCTCTTCTTCATATTGAGAAATGATGTCTAATTTTCTTCCTCTTGAATCTGAATTGGTCTTAGTGACTTGCATGATCAATGGAATGCAGCAGAAGATGTGCTGGGAGTTTCAACACCATTTCTTAAGAAGGCTTTGATTTTTACCCAGGACTCTTAAAATGTTCTCTCTGCTACTATGTAACTACCTGAGATAACAAGGAGGATGCTGGGGAGGCCCCATGGAGGCCCTCTGATAGATTGTTCCAGTAAGGCTCAACCTTCCAGTCATTTTTGACTGGGCAGACATAGGAGTGAAGTCATCCTGGGCCCTCCAGTCCAGCCTGCCTGAAAGCTGAATACTAACAAAAGTACTCTATTAGATGCCACCGGGAAGAGAAGAACAGCCCAGCCAAACCCTGCTGGAATTCTTGACCCATGAAATTCTGATGTAACTAGTTATCAAATGGCTATGTTTAGGCTACTAAGTTTTAGAGCAGTCTTGTAAGCAGCAATAATTCACCAGAACAAACAGTGATATGTTGATCTTTATACTTAAAAGCAACAGAATGAGGTGGAAGAAGAATGTGCTGATTGGAGAAGGCAAAGGAGAAGTGGAATAAAATTATCTGAAAAGAGATCATAAATGCCATGGACATCAATAAAAGATGAACTAGAGATTTAGAGGACCCACAGTAAGTTAAAAAAAATTCTAGTCCAGAGTTTTTTGCAGGCTGCTACTGTGATTTTGGGTAACTCAACAACTTTGGCCCAACTTCTTGGAGATTCAGAGAGAAAATGGCAGTAAAATTTCACCTCATGCAGATGCTGTGAACAGTAATGAATAAACATGACAAATATGCTGCAAACAAGAGCTAAAAATGCTATGTAAGAAGCAATCTTTGCACCTACTAAAAGTCTTTCATCAGATGATTTCAGATTGAAGGTGTCTCAGGAGAAAAACAAACATTGAAAATACAAACAGATTTTGTTTTTTGTACTTTTATTGAAAAGGTACATTTAAAAAAATACACAGACATTTTACCATTTACAGGTTGCAGATATAGATGCTCTAAAAGAGTTCACTCTATTTTGTTGTTTTATGATAACTCTTGCCCCTGATATCACAAACATTCCAGTCTAGTTGATATCGGTTTAGAAAGGGGGGCATGGGAGCGTGACCTGCAATATATTCAGTGAACAGAAAGACAAATTGTTCAATTATAAATTTTTTATCTTCTGTACATTATTGCATTAGGGAGCCACAAAATTATGTAGCATCATTACAAATGAAAACAGGTTAAAAATGAAGAAGATACTTATATAGAAATACATGGATTCATTGTCTTCTTGCAGAATGCACAAGAGGTGCAAAAATGTGCAATTTAGGAAGCTCTTTTTCTGTTTGTATACGTTTGCTTAGCAACACAAACCAGTGAGGAAGCTACAAAATAAGTTAAACAAAAATAGCAAACAGGTAGTAATTATAGCTATGTTATATGGCTTTCTATTTCATTTAAATATCTCCAAATAAAATGTGAAATAAAGAAAATACATTACTTTATCTTTTGTTCTCTTAAAGAGAAAATTCAAAGCTACTTTGCTTCCTAACATTTACACAGCAACTAAAAATGTTTAATTCAGACAAGAGATACAGATCTAGTACTACACAGGATACAACAGTACTTGGGTCGAAACAGTACACAATCCCTGTCAACAACAGTACACCAAAGAGAGAACTTTGTGATCCGTTGGTAAGATGGTATCCACAAGTAAGCACTTGTGTTCATTGATTTTTGTTCCACACTAGAATACACTCAGTTGGATACCAGAGTTATTTACAGACATCTGAGGAAGATCCTAGTTTTCAAGTCTGTCAGGAAAATATTCCATATTGTTTTAAGCCAGATCATACCCATGGAAAAATAGAGAATGATTTTCTTTCTTTTTCTTTCTGACCAACATATGTTCAAGAAATCAAATATCTGAGATACACAAATTGAATGGGGTGGCGAGGGAGGGGTGGCGGGGAGGAAGTAGGGAGATAAAGCCTATGCTGCTCAGATTACTAAATTATAGGAGCGGTCTCTAAAAGCCCTCTTGAATCTAGTGATGTGTTTCTCTTTGGAATTGGGGAGCTGGGTGGTAGGCTGCATTTTGTGAGTGAATGGGGGTGCCGCAACACAAACTGCTTAACTTGCTGAATCCTTGTGGCTTTCTTTCTCAACTTCCTACTGGCCTCAAACGTCTTGGGGTTTGCAGACGTTAGTACGGAGCAAAGAGGATGGAGGCAGGAGTGGCGCGGATGGGCCCATGTCCAGGCCTCAGAAGAGCTGGAGGAATGGCTGGAGCTTGGAAGAGCGAGGCGGAGGGCCGGGGTGGGAGTGACAGCGCAGAGGACACGGCGGCTGCCGCTGCGAGAGGTGAGGACAGGAAGGCTGGGGCCAAAGGCTTCATCATATCTTTCTGGAATGCAAGTTTTGCCTAAGGGAGGGAGAAAACCAGGAATGGGGTGGAGATAGTGTTTTTGAATAACCGCACCACAGGTATCTTTTCATAAGTAAAACACCAACATTAAGAAGTCTTAAATTTTGAAAATCTTCACCCTCAGAAGTCGAGAAATGATTAGGTTCACAATGCTGGTTTCAGTGGCTCATGGCACAGCTTTCTTTTATTTGGTGGTCTTTGCTCCGGTGTGCTAGGGCACAGGGAAAGGCCTCTGAATAAATTCTAAAGCTATTTTATGCTGCTGCTCACCAGGAAAAAAACATGCCCACAAGTTTCCTGCTTAAGTGATGAAGTTCAATTCAAAATTCAGGCTTGTCTTAAACCACAATGAGGCCTGGAGAGTTTTGTTTTGTTTTTTAAGAATATGTGTGATCCTTCCCTTCTCTGAGATAAGCTGCATTGAAGTTAGGTAATGAGTTCAGTACTTTAGGGACCCTGAAGAGTCAAGAAAACAGTCAGTTCACACCTCTGTCACTGGCTACTTAATGAGTAGGCCTTGAAAAATCACAGCTAAATCAAATTTCTGTTGTTGAGAATGATTGTAAGTGGGCTAGAAACTCTCTATTTAACGGAATGCCAGGATGGAATCCTCCTGTGAAGAAATCAATCCTTAATTTCTCTCTCTTGCAATCAGGAGGAGCCTTGCAAGCTGGATTTGCTTAATGCAGGTAACACCTGCTTGCAGCGTCAGACAGAGGCTTTGGAGAAGCTAGAAGGTAATCTCAGAATTGCCTCCAGCTGGACAAGTTTAGCTTCATCCTCAGACTGAACACTGCACTGGGCCCAGTCCCAGGGAGATTGTGAAATCTATCCATCTTGGTATTTACATGACACTTATTGCTGGAGTCCCTAGGTGTTTTTGCAAAGACACTGAAAATGGCACATATTGAGAGCATAACAGGCTAATTACCAACATGCCTGCTAGAATGGAGAGAGCACACCATACGGACACTGCTTTACCTTCTCATGCCATATTAAAAAACAAAAACCAAAAAACAGAAAGCATGAGGTTATTAAATTAAATGGATGGATTTTTGTTTTATGAAAGAAATCCCTCTTTCCAAGTTCAACATCCCAGGATTCCTGAGGCATCATTTGTCCTTGTTCTTGAGACTTTACTTTATATGCTAAAGAGGATAGTCTTCTGAAAATAACTTGGTAAAGAGTAACATATTAGCTGTTAAAGAGGTTCAGTTTCTATTTTCTAAGTAAGTTGTCCTATAGCAGAACTAAGCAGTTCAATCTAAAACTTCTGTCTGTGAGGGCTATTTAAATTCGAAACCTTTCATGACCATTAGACTCTACGCCCTCCGTGCCCACAGTGGCTGCCCAACCCAGCAAGGCTGCCCCACAAAACAGGTGAGCAGGTGAGGTAAACTTACTGCTAGAATACTTGGGCTCCGCTGGAGTTTGTTGTAAGGGCTGTATTTTGGCTTCAGTGGTTTCCCTGCAACTCGATCTTTATGCCTTCGGCTAGAAATGTGCTGAAAAAAGTTTGATGCATTAGCTGAATTGAAATGTGAGTCTTATTCCATGTAAAATTTATTTCTAGGTAGCTGTTTTCTCCATTGCCAACTCTAGGTCCATAGTTCCACGATGGTGTGGGTAAAATCATTATGATTTCTAAATTAAGACTTATTCCTCCCTCAATTGTAATGCTTCTCTGTCTGTCTCCTGTTCTCTATAGCCCTTATCAGATTTTGCCTGGTATTAACACTGTTACTGATGAGTTTCTCTCTCTCTAATGAGATTTTAAGCCTTTGGAAGACAGGCTTATCATCTCACCTTACCAGAAGCTCCTGCTCAACTGTAGGCTCCAGTGACTACTGTTCCTGTCTCTCCAACATCTAGCCTGGAACCTGACATATAGTAACAGTAGATGCTCAAATATTTCATACTGACTTTTTCTTCCACGTAGCACCTGTATGTTGCATATTGTTTGCATCCTACAAAAGTTAGTCAACTTAACCGTGAGCACGGTAAAAACCATTCTATAGATGAGAAGATACACAGTCAAGTGGTGGCCTCAAACAACAATGTTTACTAATTCAGGATACGTTACCTGTTTGAGTTGAATTTCTGAGTTAACATGAACATCACAGATTTCACAATGAAATGTCTTGTTCTGTAGTCCTGACCCCTTACTGCCATTCTGCATCTTTAATCTTGATCCAGGTCTAGGATAGGATTTAATTGGACCAGCCCCATTACGAGCTTCAACCATGGTCTTGTGTTTAGATCCTAAGAAAGAAAGGACACATATTAAATAGCTATCCAAGAATTATACAAAGCTCTTTGTTTTCTTATCCTTGAGAAGTTTACCTGCAGGCTAAAATTCCCAATACTTTTTTTAAATGATCACTTTAATGCTGATTTTTAGTTTAACACGTTATTGTAAAACATGGAAAAATGTAAGAGTATATAATACAGAAAATATAGAGAAACATAAGAAAATAAAGATTACTCATGTTTTCACTACTCAGAGGTAACCACTATTATCATTTTAGGGTATTTCTTGTCAGATTCTTTTTTTAATGTACTAAAAATTTTTTTCAAAATGGGGATCATACTAATTAAATATCCTAAAAATTTCACATAACAAATCATGTACATATTTTCTGATCATTATGTTTTAATGGCTGATTAACATATATCATATTGGGTTACTATAATTTATTCAGTATTTCCCTACTGGTGAGCTTTAGGTTGTTTCCATTTTTTTTCTCTTTTAAGTGTATTGCAGTGAACACTGTGCATAAATATTTATCTTCATCTCTGTCACTTCATCAAAATGAGTTTTAGACAGTATTAGATGTTTTTAGGAAAATAAAGAATAGGACAAGTTTGATCTCCAAGCTGCTTTTGTCTTGCTAGTTGCAAAGTCATATGATCATACTCTTCTAAAATCACTCTTTTGAATCAAAAAAGTAGAGAAGCATTGAACAACCCTAAGGTCTGAACAACAAAAGATATGGTATTCTGATGGGAAAAGTTGGGTTTCATTATAAACATTATTTAAATGCAAAAGATAGCTGCTAACCTGTGTTGTGTGCCTCCAGCTGTGACAGGGAGTTCACAGCCACTTTGCATAGTGAACAATAAAGTAATTTTTTGGCTTTTTCTTCTTCTGATTCAACAACAGTACCGGCAGCTCCATTTGTGCTCTTGGAGGGAGAAGTGGCGGCTCCAGGTGGCAGGGGTGTTGTGCCAGATTTGAGGAGAAATGAGCCACTTTCAGAGCTTGACGGCTGACTGGAACTGCTGGCTTTTAACTTCCCTTTATCTTCTAAGAGAAACACAGACAGATCTTATTGAAGCCTCATATATCATATAAACAAAGATAAATCACCATAAAGGAATTAAAAATAGAAATTTGATTCTTATGTGAAGTTTTTATTGCAGCATAGATTTCAGTTTATAAAGGTTAAATCAACCTCTATGTTTAAATCAAACAGAACACTATGCCATCAGTTTGATATTAGGTCATCCCAAGATAAGGATGACTTATGAAAAATGACTTTGTTCTCCCACTTGGAGAAGGTAAGTTTCTATCTGACATCCTTCAGTTGTAAATTATGCTACAAGGAACTCTTTATTATTAAACAAAACCACCTACCCTCTGATACAATTACATGATATGAAGGTAACATGAAATAAGCCATTAGGCCATGTTAGTTTCATTTGACTACTTACGTTTAATTATGACAGAGATAAGTTAAACTTTAATTTGTATACCAAGCTAAAATTTTAGCTTTGGATTGTGGGATAGAAGAAACACGGTTAATTTTGGTTATGATTAGCTAAGTTTTTGCTGCTCTGTGGATGGCAATGCAATTTATCCAAAATATAAGAGACCAAGATTGCATTCATTATGCTTATTAATTACTGCCAGTCTAAATCAAAAGTTTTAAATAATGACATTAACCATAAGCACAATATGAAGATTAGCCAAGTCATTTAAAGACACTTTGGCAGTTTGATCATGTAGCTACTAAATGCTTATAATCCTCAAGGCTCATGTGTAGGCTATGAGAGTCAGAGTGACTTTAACAGAATCTAACTCATTGAGGTTCATTTGCTATTCAAGACAGTCTCTGTTCAGTGACTCCTTTGGAAAAGAAACTGGGGCTTTGTAAGCAACAGCAAAATCCATCAAACATTTAATCCTAGTAGAGCTGGTACTTTTAGAAAATGTCTATAGATATGCTGATTAACTCTCATGAAGAAAGAAAGGGAATGAAATCTGAGAATATATTTGCTAATTGCCCTAGCTAATTTGGAATTGTATACCATTGGCCTAGAAGACTAAGAGGGAAGGAGAGACTAGGCAACAGCAATGTGGTGTGTGTTTCTGTGTGTATGTTACAAGGTTCTGTATATGGGTAAACCTAAGCTTTTAGGACACATTGCAAATGATGGGAGATCATATTTCTACTAAAATATTATATAAAGAAAAGCCTAATTGATTTAGGAATCAGTAGTTGATTTCCATCCTTTTTTTTCAGTTGGATCCATTCAGGTTGAGACTAGACACAGCCAGGGTGCTATGGAGGGATTTCAAATCTGGGTGTTACTTAGAATAAATGAATGCTGAGATCCTTTTAAACCCTTAGGTTGCACATTCCATATTCCCTTTCAGTGAGTGTACTAAAACTTCAGGACGACATGAAATATGATGGAAAAGGTCTTAGACTTTTATTAATCTGACCTCTACGGTGTGAGAGAAGGACATAAAATCATTCTTCCTAATTGGTAATAGTCAGCAAATTAGATTGGAGAATATTTTAGGCCTGGAACCCTCTCATCTATAAGGATCCCTCAGATTGAATCTGCAATCTTACAGAACTCATAAAGCAGCAGAATAATTCAGTAATCTTAATATTTGGAATTACTCAGTTTCTTGTGATGAAAATTAAAGTTATTACATACCAAAATCTTTCCTTGCTTCAAGCATTTCATATGAATTCGATCTAAAAGAATCTGACCTGTTTCAGTCATTGACTCACTCATTCCCTCATATTACTAATAATGTCCCTTATACTAATGTCCCTCATAAACCCTTACATTTATATAGAACTTTACAGTTTACAAAGTGCTATGACTTACATTGTCTTATTAGCTCTCACAGAAAACTTGTGAAACAGGTAAGGCTCAAAATGATTATTCCTATCTTAAAGATGAGGAAACCGAGCCTTTTCAAAATTAAATAATGTCCCACGGATTAGTAAGTGGTATAAATGAGCATGATGTTTTCTCTAACTGATTGGTCTGTGGTACACTAATATTTCAGCACAAAAGGAGGACTTAATATATCACTAGTGACATAAAAGTATACAACAGTCACCCTAGATGTGAAATAGCAGTTGCTTCGTTTTACAATTGTAGGTTAGTTTTTAAAGTATATTTATTTGGCATAAGTGAAAATATCTATCCTGTTCAACAATCATTTGATTTAGGTTATATTGAGAAGATGTATAAAATTATATATTTTCTCTGTTCCTATTTCTTTAAGAAAAATATTTCCTTTTCATATCTTGTTTTCAAAGAGGTAATTTGTGAATTAACAAGTACATATTAACAATATGTTAATTGCTGACAATGTGCTAGACACTAAAGAGAATAGTAAATAAAGTAAGTATGTACTATGAGAAAATTACAGCATAGCAAGAGAAAATGAGACAGTCATTCAAAGATCTCTAATTTACAACAGAAACTGGTAAGAGGCATGAGAGCATAGAGCAGAAAATGATTACTTCTGCTTGGGAAGAACGAGACATTTTTCATTAAGGAAGTGGCATTTTGAAGGTTTTGAAGGTCAGATTTAGATAAGCATAGAATAGGGTTGAAAATGAGTGGGAAGTGAATGGTTAGAAGCAGAAACATGAGGAAATACCTAGGTATTCGAAATCTTGGGGTTTTCTTGGTGAATACTTACTTGGTAGTTGAGCATAGAGCTGGCAACAAGTGTAATGGGAGATATTATTATAGAGGTCAATTGAGCCAGAAGGCAGAGAATATCTTAAAACTATTAAAATATATACTAAGGGCAGACACTTCCCTTTTAAAATTGAGATGTATGGTATGTTTAACACTTACATGATCTAAAATTCAGATAAATTATGTTTTAAATTTTTTTCTCAGATAGGCCAGAGTCTTAATCTTTGAGAATATTAAGGAAAAATATTGACTTTGGAAATGTGTATATGATTTTACTGTATTCAGGAAATTCTGTTATTGGATAGATACTATCTAGTCAATAAAACAGATCCTAAAATTTGAAAAGTCACTGATGTATTTATATATTTGAATAGTGGCATTTTTTCTCAATATGCAAACGTCTAAACTTCAAAGCCTAATTTTATTATTTCTCATCTTAATTGCTTGATATTTTAATGAAAATCCATTGTTTTATTCCTCATTCCTTCCTGGTATTTTAAAAACCTCTTTGTGTATTTGAAAGTTTAATTAATGTACTGTTTACTTCTGTTTCTTTTAATAAAGATGCATGTCTTCTGGAACTTCTGGTTAAGATGAATTCCATTTTCAAGTATTCCCTCACCTAATGTTAATTAGCAGGTTTTCTGACTGTCCTAATTATTTCTTGATTACTCAAACACATTTATAAGGTTTTATCCTACAGGATTTTGAAGCAGAATTTGCTTAGCTACATCAGAATTGTTCGTTGTAACAAATATACATAATTTATGCATCCAAGTGAATTTATTTCTTCAAAGTAGTGTCCTTGGGAAGTTCCATACTGATTCATTTATTTTCCAAAGCTCCAAACACTCGAAAACTCTTTTCTTTGATACTCCTTTTATGTCCAGTTCATAAGCCATGTAAAGAAAATCAGTCTTCAAAATGTATCACCCTTATTTCTTACTCCAAAATCTTTACTCAAATTAATCCACCTTATTCATCAAACTTAGCACTACATTACTCAAACGCAGCCTCAGAAGACTAATATGCTAAGACAAAAAGAACATACCAGAAGCTCTAAAAAGAAGTTTTAAGAAACCAATTCTGTTGGCATATGGAAGAGTCATGTCCATTCATAGGTCTTAATTTAAAAAACAATAAAAAATTAATATTCTACCTACAATGTATTATATTTTGAATTAGAACTTTGAAAGCTGTAATCAAATTTTTATTATTTGACTTGTAAGATTTGCTTTTGAGTTTAATTTTACCAATGTAATAAGATTTTCTAATCAGGATGCAGTGGTTTAATAATAGATACATATTTTATGCAATAAATGTATGCTCTCTGCAGAAAATTTTAAAAATGAAGTCAGACAAACATCTTAAAAAATTAAAATTACTTATGATTCTATCATCTACAATAACAGTTGGTAAACTTTTTCTATACAGCTCCAGAAGACACGTTAAGCTTTGTGGCTATACTGTCTCTGTTGTAACTACTCAACTCTGCTTTGTAGCAGAAAAGCGGCCACTGGCATGGCTGTGATCCAGTAACATTTTACTTATGAAAATAGGTGGCAGGCAATATTTGGCTCACAGGCAGTAGTTTTGACCTAGCATTATGATATTTTGGTATATATTACTCTATACTTTTTTTACATAATAGCAAATATGAATATACAGAAACATACTGTTCTGTAACTAATATTTTTCACTTAGGAATAAATCAAGAACATTTCCATGTCAATAAATGCAGAACTGGATTAAGATTTCTAACACCAAATTATATTTATTTATATGAATGTACTATATTCAACAGTTTTCTTTTGATATTTTGGTTATCTCTGGTTTGCACTTTTGTTAATGTTTAAAGGATACTGAACGAGACTTCTGTGGCCTCAATGAAGGACACAACTGAGAATTGAAAGCAACTGGTATTTAGTATTATAGCATGTTAGAGAAAGTCCCTCAGAAACCCCCAACACAGTCCTTTATAAGATTTAGTAGAACTGGTCCAGCTACCAGCACCCTATCACCCACCTGTCTAGGCCTTATAAAGTAGTCTGAAGATTGGAGGACTCACTGGAGTCATGAATTTCTGGTCTGGTTGGGAGCTTCTGAATCCCAAACTAATAAAGCTAGAAATGCAGGTAAGAAGGGGACACTGGGATTTCATTCCCTAGTTAGACTACTGCAGGTCTTGGCAATCTGTTCCTCACTTGTGGTTGAAGGGAGATGGGGTTGCAGCAAGAAAGGTAAGAAGGAGAAGAACGTATAATCTCAGTTTGGCATGTCAAGGTTGAATAAGATTTCTTTGGGCCAATAGGATGCTTTGAAAGGTAGCCTGGCTCAAATCATGTTGTT